TTGTAAAAACTTCAATTGAATTTCAATAAAGTTAAAGGCATGGCCTCACCGTTAATATTTAAAAAAAAAAAAATATTTTTTAATTTACTATATAAAAATCTATTATACCATCTAGGTTATATGAAAAATGATCAACATACACCCTACCCTTAACTTTAAAGTTTAAAAAAATTAATTTAACTTAGAGCAAAATAGAATTTTTCAATAATTTTATTAAAAAAATTTTTTTTAATTTAGCAGTCCTGTTACTACTTTATTAAACTCTTTATAATTTTTACAATAAAGTTATTTTATTTTACTAAGTTTACTTATTTAGATATTTATACTAAAAAATAACCTATTCAGTTGTCTTGATAATATCTAAATATGATCTGCTATATCTTACTAAGTTTTGTATTTTAAAAAAAAATGTTCTTAGATTTGCAATTAAAGTTTGCTAACTGTTAGCAACTACCTTTTATCTTATATTTAGAGTTGTTAATGGATTGAGTTGGATTAAATTGGGTTAAGCAACTTCTTAATCCACTCTAGCTTGGGTTGGACTCACTTTGGAGCCACTCCAAGTTTGCTTAAATCTGCTTCAGTTCACTTCAGTTTTATTACAAATTTTTAAACATATCTTTAACCTACTCCAACTTGGGTTGGACTTACTCTGAAGTGGCTCTGGAGTATACTACTCTATTAACAACCTTACTCATATTCTAATTTGCATAAATTTCTTTTTGTACTCAACTATAAACTTCTGTATTTGTGATACTTAGAATCTCTGTTCACTTCTTCTTTATATTTTTACTACTATTTAGTAGGTCTTTTTCAAACAATGTTTTTCTGAAACCTTGTTTTGTTCTTTTTCTTTTCTACTTTTACTTTTATTTTTTTGGTTTTTTTTTTCTTTTAGCATTCTGTCTCTTCATTGATCAAGTAATACTAATTTTTTTTTTTATTTATTGACTATGATATATTATTCTCTCCAAATTTTTTTTTAAAAAAATTTTATTTATTTATTAAGAAACATAGTTGCTGCTTTTTAAACTTTAGTGCTTAATAGGTCTTCTTTTTTAAGCAAATTTATTATGTCATCTACCAAAAGACCTCTTGTTATTTTTACAAATCTTCTTTTATACTCTTCTTTGTTACTAGTCATAAACATCTTTATAAAAAGTTTTTTATTATTAAAGATACTTCTTTGCCTTTAGTTTATTTTATATTCTGTTAAAAATTTCTTTTTCTTTTTCTAACCAAACTTCTTTATTATGTGAACATATGGTTAAGTGTTCTGATATCTTTTCTGTTTCTAAGCATTTATAGTATCAGATATCTTAATACAGTTTTAAACTATAAGGTAGATAGGGTTAATTTGGCGAAGTTAACAATGCTATCGATTAAACTTTTTATTGACCCGTGTAAAAATTTTACATATTTGAAGTCACGAGACTATGCTATATTTAGAATAGATCTATAAAAAAAAAAAAGGATATGATAAATGAAAATCAGTAAAAATCGCCACTGTGTATACAGTACTAAAAAATGCAATTTTAAGATCAAAGGGGTAATTTGGCAAATTTTGATTATCAAGATTAAAATAATTCCTTTTCTTTTTTTTAATGATCTTTCTGTTTTCCAAGAGTCTTTTGGGCTCTCTTTTCATTTTTTTGTACCAAGCGAAGTTCCTGTTCAGCTTTCTTTTGGGCTGCTATCTCCTTTTTTTGTTTTGCTTTGTCGGCTTTACATTCCACTTCTCTGTTCACTTCTTCTAATTGGCACCAACTTTCTTCACTAGTAAGGAGCTGGGAAAATGGAAATGTCTTTCTTTTTTTTCTTGGAGAAGGTAGATCAGACCTGGTCTGGTCTTCTGTAGTTGATTGTGAACTTTCTGCTGGAATGTGAAGAACTGGGTATTTAAGAACCGAATGTAGGAAGGATGTTCCAGGATTTTTGAAGTATTTAGTTCTTCATTTGCTACTGAAATTTGTGACTTTAACAAAGCATTTTCATTCTTAAGTTTCATATTTTCTTCTATTAGTTGGTTAACATTCGAGCAAGTAGAATGAAAATGCTTTGAATTAGTAGGCTTTTGAGCTAACAAAGATGGCATGGCTTGTTGAATAGAAGATTGACTAGACAAAGGTGAGATATCGAATCGTTCAGTTACTAATGATGGGTCTAAACGGTCAGGACTAATAGCTTTTGGGTCAAACAGTCAAATTCCTGTCGTTTTATAGGCATTACAAATAGCTTGTGGGGTATAAGTTTCAAGAAAAGTGAAACCAAAGACTTTTGCAAAGGTTCGTTTGGTTACTATCATGTCATCATTTTCATTACTGTATTTTTCACATGCCTTACTATATTCTTTTTTTAGTTTTGCGAAAGGAATTTCTGACGGTTGCAAAACATGGGTTGTATGTGGCGGAAGTGCATAAAGAAGGATCTCATTGTTACGACAAAAGTCAACAATTGTATAACTGATGTGACTACTATGACCATTTAGCATTAGTAATACTGGTCAGGTAGGAGGGATTGATCGAATAAAATGATCAAGGTACATTTGAAATAGGTCTTCATGCATGTACCCTGTACTTGTAAAGCTCATTACGGTTTCTGGTAGTGTTCTGTCGAGTAAACCAGGAATTGTACGAATGCCTTTATAAATTATTAAAGGTGGAATATAAGACCCAGCCACTGAAATTGTGGGTGCAACTGAAATATGGTCATGGGAATTTCCATATGCAATTTTGTGAACTTGACATGTGCCTTTTTTCGCTATAACCTTTTCTAATTTAGGCACAATGACGAACCCAGTCTCATTCATATTCCATATTTGCGCCACAGCTAGTGAATTTTCATTGATAATTTGTTTAAGTTTTTTGAAATGATCATCTACAATAGTTTTATTTACTTTTTGTGCCCTTGCCTCCAATAAGTTTTGAGGAACACAAAAGGACAATTCGGGGTGGTCCCTCATGAAACGTTCCCACCAGTCTTGACCTGGTCCATCTTCTTCAAATAGGTGTGATTGTTTATTTAACTTCATTATTTCCATTACACAATAATTAACCCCCCATTTTGTTAAACCAAACACGAGCTTCTGCATGTTAATGCAGTAGCCGACAAGCTGATTTTCTTCATGACTGGTGAGAACATTGGGTGCACCTGGACGTTTAGGGGGACCACCATTACTAACTGCATGCCAAAAAGTAGTTTCTGAAAGACCGAAGTCTTTCGCCAAGCTATTAATACTTGGAGGTTTGGCCCGGGGCAATCATTTAACTTTTTAAGTGCAGCACTGATTGCAATACCTCTTTTAGCAGAAGAAATTTTCATGTTTGAATAAATTTTTATTAAAAACTAGCGAAATAAAAAATATTGCAAAATTAAGTAATAAAATATCAAGATAACATGACATGTGAAAATTTGCCAGTATATTTTGTTCTGTATAGATGTTGTAGCAACATTAGTCACACAAAATTATTCGCGTACCAAATTAAATGTTCATACTTGTCACGTTATGATTTAAGTTGGAATCCATGCATGTGTTATAAGTAAAGGTAATATGGCGAATTGGAAATAAATAAAAATATATCGTGACTCTGTAATTGGATCTAAACAATTTTTTTACTATACGAATCCTCTCAATGAGATGATTCGAATGGTATAGAAATCATTCGGATCTGATCATGGGATCACGATATATTTACAAATCTTTACAATTTGCCAAATTACCCTTATTCACCAAATTACTCCTTTTTACCTTATACTTTTTTTTTGCTAATATGAAAAGCAACTTGTTAATACACTTTATCCAAAAGTTTTATTTACTATTCTTTTTTCTGCTATGTTTCTGTAATTTACTATATCTCTTTATTAATATATAGAATATTTTTTAGTTCTTTTGGCTAATTTAATTTTAGTATATCTTATTATATGCTCTTTTGTTAAATATCTATTCAGTTTTAGCAATTGTTGTTAATATATTCTTAATATATTCTTTTGGTGAGCATTCTATTTTTAACTCTCTTTATATTGGCTAAAGGATCATATTCTTAATTATTACTTAATTTATCTATATTGCATTATTAACTTCATTCTTTCTTTTGTATTTTTGTCTGCTTTATTATTCTATTTGTTTTCTGAATGAACTTTTACTTTCTCTAAAACTAGTTCTATATTCTTTTTCAATACTACTTCTTTTATTGTACTTAAAATTGTTGCATTATTTGTTTTTATTCATTTTCTCATTTTCAATATGCTAAGTATCTTTTTTACTAATATTAAGACTATGCTGTTATCGAATCTGATTACTATTTTACATTTAAAAGATATTATTAGAAAGGTCTCTAGAATTGTTATAAGTTCAGATCTTGTAGATGAAATTCAATTTTAGATTCTCTCTTTGGTATTTTTTACAACTCTTTTCTCTTTATCTATTTGAATTATTCTGTATTCTAATATTCTTATATTATTTATTACTTTACAAGTTCTATCAGTATAAAACTATAATTTATTTTCTTTTTAATTTTCTAATAGTACAGTTTTTAATTTATTTTTCTTTTTATAATTTCTTATCATTCTATCTATCAAAATTATGCTTAAGTTTTCTATTATTATACTTAAGTTATTTTCTTTCTTTTACATTATTCTTAGATCCTTTTTTGTTATTAACTGCTTCCCACTTCTGTTTGTAAAATAATTTGCTTCTAGTAACAAAGTGTCTTCTTTATTTATGTAGATAACCTACTAAGTAATATTAGTTAATGTTTCTGTTTTTATTCTTTTAACTTCATTATTTTGCTTCTTTTGACCTTCTTAATTTAATACTTGCCTTTTTATATAAAGGATACTTTGACTGTTGTTTTTGTAACATATAACCTCTATAGCATAAGATCCTTTCTTACTACTCTTCTTAAAATTAGTTAGTTCTTCTTATTTTTATTAATATATATCTATTCATGCTTATTTCTCTTAGATAAAATTGTTCTTAAATAAGGCACTAGAGCTTGTTGGTTTGGGTTTTGTATTCAGAAGTCTTCTTTTATGAATCTTATTTGACTATTTATCATTAAAATGCTTTCTATTTTTTTAAACTAATTTGTTTTTCTTACTTGTTTTTTGACCTACAAGTCTTTTAATATGTTGTCATATTAGAAGTTTTTTATTTTTTAAATCCAAAAGTGTTTTATATATCAAAGACCAATACTCCTTAGTTTCTTTTAATTATTAGTTTTTTTATACTCTTAAAATAGTTTTATAATCATTTTTGAGTTTCTATCTAAGCCTTAATATAGTTATCAATTCTCATATATGTATTCTGATCTAATTTCTATATTTAGTTCTCTTATAAATTTAAGGTTTTATATTAAGATTATATTTAAAATTGCTAATATCCAAAAGATCTAACTTTAAAAACCATATTGGCTTTGAGCTATAAAGATCTTTTTGTGCTTTTTTGATTTTTAGTAGTGTTGATTAACCTAAGATTTCTATATTATTAATTCTAATTAACTATTTTGCAAATATATATTTAGTATGTCTTTGCCAAAACTTTTAATATCTAATAATTTTTTAAAATTTATTATACTGTTTATTGATGTTAATGCTAATTTAACTTTTTACTATACTAATTTAAGAACTGGTTGGTAAATCTTATCGCATGTTTTTTTGTTCAACAGGCATATATTTGCTCTTTATTCTAACTGAGACAGTAGGACCTTGTTGTTTAGATATTTTATTTGTCTAATTAAAATCTTTTTATTTCTAACAATACTTGTAAAAGTGTATATTTGTTTTTTAAATTTCTATATATATTGCTTATATATATTCCAAGCTATAATTCAGACTTTTAGAAAATAAGCTGCTTTTCCTTTATATAGAACTTTAACTTCTGTTTTTTGTCTTCCTAATTTTATAAACTTCAGTGTATTTTTTTTTGATGTTTATTACTATTAGTTCTGATTTTTTTTTTTTTTAAATATTAATGGTGAGGCCATGCCTTTAACTTTATTGAAATTCAATTGAAGTTTTTACAAA